GATGCCCCTTTTTAACGGTATTTAGACCTTTCTTATTCCACTGTTTTTTTAAACTAATTATATCTGTAAGTAAACTTAATTACGAAAATTTAATAAATTTTAGCTGCTTAGCGTGTAGAAATACACAAAGAGAATATTGCTAATTACTGAACTATAAGATTTTTGGATTTAATGTTTTAACAAATTTTTTTAACTGTTAAAAGAATAACTTAATTTATTAAGTTGAATTTATTGTATTAGTTATTTCCGTGAACATAACTTAATAAACTGCCCGAATAAAATTCTTTATAGATAGTATTTTTACTCTAACTTAAAGCATGAATAAAGTGTGTTCACTTTCCTTTTCAGATTTTGTGTGGCAGTTTTTGCAGTTTTATGCTATTGCTACAGATTTCAAACGTGAACTTCGGTGCCACAGAAGACTATGTCTGCTACGTCTGCTATATATTTCTCTTTTCAAATCTAGCCAGAAAGTAACGATTTGATAACAATGAGAAACTAAGCTTCCTAGAAAAAATATTTTTACCTAGTGTTGTATTTGTTTTAGACTTATATGGTTTTCACTAATTTAAATAAATAATTTAAAGTATTCTGAAATCTTGCGTGCTTCACATCTGAATCTGATTTTACCGCAACAACCTACTTAATTGGTTGTTTACTTCTTAAACTGGTTATTTACTTTAAGTAAACAACCTTCTTCTTACTATAGATTTATTAAAGCACAAACTTTGTTTTTCCTGAATAAGTTTGGGAGTCTGCTAGTTTACTAAAACTTCTGGCAGAGGCTTTACAGTTAGTGATTTAAATTCATTAAAAGGAGATTAAAATGAAATAGAGAAACGAAAGATATTAAATTTAAATCGAAATGTTTCTCACGTTTCTTTCTCTAACACGAAGTATTCTTTGATGTGCGAATAAAGTATAAGCTGCTTGGTGATTAGTTTAGAATAGTTTCTTAAAAGCTCAGAAATATTTTTTAATACAAAAAATAAAGCGTTTTTTTTACTTCAATAAGAAAAAAAAATCCATACAGAGATACTGTAAAGGTTAAACTTTAGAAAATGTTCCTTGACGCACGTCAAAAACTTTGATTGCGTAATAAGCATTTTAATGAAAATATAGCCTTATAATTTATAAAATAATTGCCATAAATTTCAAGGCTAGATACTGTATTTGAAAGAAAAAAAATTATGTCTGACTTGTGTAATAAATTTCTGTACATTTCTTTCGGATTATCTGCACACAGGTTGCATCTTCATGTCTGCAAGCATAATAATGTTCTATAAGTTAGCAGTAGCCGGACAATTTCTGTATTTATGTATTGTCTACATGTATACTAGTTTGAAAAACTAGAGAATATGAAGATCCTAAAGTTATAGACTGTTCTTAGTCTTGACGTGTTTCACAGTATTTGCGTTATACTGTGAAATATTTGCGTGTTACCTTTGCGCCATACTGCTGTTGAAATTCAAATTTATGAAAAGTCGTGGGTGGAATTGGGATTCAACTCATAAAAGAAGGGTATTAGAAGCAAAATGAATTTCCTAACATATAGATAAACGCATTTAGCAATGGCACCATAATTCACAACGAGCAAAATTTTACGGGTTACGGGGAGAGATCAGATGCTTTAAATAATGCGGACGATTTCTCATCGATTGGTTTAGGCAGATTTGTATCTACCTGTACGAAGGCTGCTGTTAACACCATTACCATCGTGAATACTTGTAGAGGCTTTGAATGGGGTACCCGATTTACTGAGGACAAATAATGTCAGTATATATCTCAATTTTATCTCAACAGTGATTACTGAGCAAAATTCTGGAGACGACATTGCAATCAAGCTGATCATTCTGCAGCTCTTTAAAGTTTTACAGGTTATCCACGTTGAGACATGATTTGTGGTGTCATCATTAATGAAAGTGCATCACACCTGTGAGTGCATATACTAAGTACAATAGACGGCACGCTGTTTTGTTGATGAGATGCTGTTGCATTACCCATCTTCTCGCCGTTTCTAATGACTTTTTACAGTAAATTAAACTACAGCAGCATAAAAAGTGTACAGGCAATTCTTTAGTCCAAATCCCGAGTTCATGCATAATGTATAGGACACAACTTTTGGAGAAAATACTCAATGATGAGGACTCAATGTCGTAATCAGGTACTCAGTTTCGTAATGTCAAATACTCAATGCCGTAATGAAGACAGACTGTGGAAATGCTACATGGTTATGAAGTTCTGCATATCAGGATTTAGGCTCCCATTGAATGAAATGTCATTCCAATTTAGCGATATTAAATTATCTATTCCATACATTCAAACACTGGCTTTGTATAATAGTTTTGAATTTTCTTTTTTTTTTTTAAGAACGTCTTTCGCTTCCCAGCGGCCGAGTGGCAAAATCTCTGATCACTGGTAATTCGGCATGGTTTCGATTCCAGGCAAATGTAGACATGCCATGTGTAGATAAGCCAATTTTCCTTAGGGATGCTTCCACAGAGTCATTCCTTCCTTTAAGCATATAGCCCTAGCGTACTTTACTAGAGTCAACCAAATTAGAACATAGTTCTCCGTCTCCGTACCAAATTTTATTCCTTTTGAAACATTTTGTCGAAGTAGGTCATTTTTTTTTAATCCATCTTGTTCGAAATATTAGTTTTAGTATTTTTATTTTCATTGGTTTAGTTTTGAGATAATGTTTTAAAAATTGATTTTTGGAGATGAAGAAGAATACGTTTACCTGCTTATATCATCTCTTTATTCTCTTTCTTTCTTTTTCTTTCTGGCTGGAATCTTTGTAGAGGTGTTGTTTTCCGACTGGTTTGGTGGTTGAATTTGCTGAACACTGTGAAAGCAGGAAAGCATAGATAGCATCTTTACTCTGAGTATATCTTCAATTTTCCCATATCTATTGGAGTCTCAAATAATTTCCCAACTAATATCCACTACTTAAGAGAATAAGGGCATTAATCCTTTGGACTCGAGAGGCTCTCGCTCACCATGTGATTTGATGCCGCAACTCGAGATGTGACTTTCGCTCACCATTTCTTTGATGCGGAAACTCCATGCGCAGCAACATCTGTTTACGTTTAGTTTCTTCGAAGCGGGTTTCTAAGCTCTTTCTGTATAATCTTATGAACTGTAGAAGGAAACCCCTTTAAATGGAGATAAGATTTCCTTATCTGATATCTTATCTTTTCTTATCTATCACAAAGTCTGTTCTTAGAGAAATGAACCCGGAAAAAGGCATCAAACGACATATTATTGTAATACTTGCCCTGGTAAGCCGAAAATGCATCTTGGGAATTGTTACCTGAAATATCATACACAGAAAAATTAGAGACTAATATTTTAGAAATTGTGTTAATAAAGGTGTTAAGATATATAAAATGTTAAAATGTAATTAATTTGTATGTGTAATGATTTTAAGTTACTGGTAAGAAATGCGTCAAAAAGGTTGCGAAACGTCTCGAGATGCTCGTGCGCCGCGCAAAAAGGCCCCGAGGTTAATCTTTAAAAGATGCACTTTTCCATGGCAAAAGAGGTTGCTTGCAAGGCTTTTTGCCTTGAATCTCCCACGTGTAAGGAAAATGCAAGACTCAAAAAGTCATCAGTTTCTATTAGAAAAGTACCCTTTCTTAGGCATATATCGTTATTCAGGAAAGCTATTCCTTTCGAGGCACATATCATCAGACGCATTTTTATAATAAATTGTAAAACTTAACTTTGTTTCATATCATAATTCGCAGAATTTATATACCTTACTAATATTCCAGTATAGATCGATATTAGGATTATTTTCTTCAAACACAGATCTTAGAGAAAGTTGGAAATGTTTGAATCTCTTTCCATTTAATTACCTCTAATTATTCTTGAAACTTTGAATAAAGAACATATAAATGTTATACTTAACACAATGATACAGTATCAGAAACTCCAACGAACGGAATATCTATGTAAAAATGAGTACATGATTCTAGAAATTGCTTTTAAAGACCAACATGACTCAAGTGTTCCGTAGCTAGTCTTCTTAAGTTACCAAACCTTACGCCATTTCACATTTCTTTTCCAAAGTTTGTGAAAGATGTAGCATTCCATCAGCATATATGCAAGATGAAATTCTTCATGGCTTCTGCTTAGGAAAAGGTCACAAAGTGCTATTTTGAAATATGTATGGCAAGACTGTTGCTGTTTTGACGCTAGTCATGTAATTAAAGGAAATCGCACAGAAGTAACGCTGCTAAATATATTAAAAATTTTTTTAAAAATTCTTCCAAATTCTTTTTATTTCATATTTTATGTATTTTTTGCTACCCTATATATTTAAATATAAAATTTTCCAAAGTAAATAACTTTACGTACAAGTTTTCAAACCTCATTTATATTGCACCAAGCAAAAATCTTATATTAATTCATGTATCCTTATATTAATCCACAACTAAAAATCTTATATTAATGTATTATAAGCACAAAAATAAGATTTTCTACCCAAAACATTTGATTGATATTTAGAAAGACGCAAATGTAAACAAGATTTTTGGTTGGATTAATTATTTTGACTATTTCAATCGCAAACAAATAAAATCCCTGTCATCAGAAAATACATATCTTTACAATTTCATTTGTCAGAGGAAAACTTAAATGTTAATTAACGCTCTAGAAATGTTTTATATTTAATTCTTCTCCAACATCTTTATCCTAAATCTTTGATATCAATGCTGCATTAGTTTAAAGTTAAGAGCTCCAAGCAAAAATTATAATAATGTCTGATTTAAAGGTGTTTAAAAAGAACGATGCTATCAAGAGATTTTCGCTGTTAATTTAAATACAAACAGAAGATAAGCTTGCAAATTTGAATATATTCCAACTTAAAATTGCCTATTGGAGAATATACACAAAAATGAAATAAAAATCACCGCTTGGAATATAACTGGATCAAAACTCTGATATATAAAAATATCATAAGGAAAAATACTACCCAAACATGTATTTGGAAAATAATTTTATTTTAAAATGTACACAAATATAAATAAAGTGTGATGAGAAATAAAAAGTGAGGTTACAATAAATATACCTTGCAATAAAACTAGAATATAATGTGTTACGTTACCAACTGTAAGCAACAACAATATGCTGAACTTGTAAAATGGTATTACTTTAAGCAAACTTTGCTGATATTAGTGTCAAAATTGCATGTGTATATCATATTGCATATTGCTCATTAAATTTATCTATAATGATCAACACTGTCAAATTCCTGAAATGGCTCTATCTTTCTAAAAAGTACGTTAAATTTAGAATATAATAAATACTATTTCTGTGAAATCATATTATCACGGGTCACGTCAAATAAACACGAAGAAGACTTTATTCTCTCGATTCGTCCTGAGAATCCTTCCATGTTTCTACTTATGTTATTTTCATCATCGGAAATTCAGCGGAACTTCGTGGGCTACTTTGCCGTTTGACTATCACCGGCACTAATACTGCAGAGGAACTCACCGGCGATGTAGCAAAAGAAGAAAGCACCTCGTAATTAAAGATTGCTGTATCACGTTTTTTTTCGGCTGACCGTTGATTTACCGTAGATGTACCTAACACTGCGTCCAGCTCCGGCTCTTGAGAACACACATAGCTTTCTGGATTCAAAGAATAGCTGAAAAATCGTGCTATTATCTTTTTATGAATTTCATCATGTAAATTCGGTTGCGGTTCTCTGGAACAGTAGCGCATATTTTCAGCTAAAAAAGAAAAATTATTTTTCAGTTTTCACCGGTTAAGAAAAATGTATCAGCATATTTATACAGAAAATTCTAGTTATTGCTAAAAAAAATCATGCACTGAAATCCGCTGGCCAGAATAGTCAGTATTGTAAGAAACCTATACTAGCACTTTTTGGACCTGAATATCGCATTCTGTTTTTCGGTTCTAGTTAACTACTTGGAAATGATACATAGTTTCAAAATTGACGAGTTGAATTCCACTTTCTTAAAGCTCCAATATTCATATAATTACAAATAATTCGATTTCTTATCGAAATAAAGAGGTGCAGACAATTGCCTGATTCTTTAATCTGTCCAATTAGCTTGGTAGTTAACTTCAAGTTTAAAAAATTACAATATATTTAAGGTAAATTAGGTTAAATGAAAATATTTGAGGTATTTCAGATTTCATTTAAAATGTAACAGACATTTATTTATGCTGCTTTTAGATTTTTCAACAAGGTACATAACATTATTAGACATTACAGTTTGTTTGATATTTTTAACCATTCCAAAATATGATGTTGGACATATCAATATAGGATGTTTGATATGGGACCCTGCAAACATAGTCTATGTATTTTTGTAGAAAAGAGAACTAATGTTTGTAACGCTGGTCGTCAAGAGTATCCTATATATTGAAGTCTCGGAAATTAGGTTGTTACAATCTCTATTTTTTTTTCTTGTAGTGGCACCAATTATTATCATGTTTTTTCAAAAGGTACGTGGAAACGGTTCAAAAAAACTATTTCATATGGAAAAGAGAATATTTTTATGAAACCGTTTTTAATTCATTGAATTTCCACATATGATATTCCTCGATTCCATATATGAAGCAACGAAAGAAAGTTATTCTGGAATAAATAATGACATCTAATTTCTTTAGGAAGCTAAAAAGAAATCGTATTTTTAGAAAGTGTTAAAAACCTTTTTTTTTGGGGGGGGGACATAATCCAATACATATATATAAAGGAACATAAGAAGCTAACTAAAATAGTCCTAGAAGTATAAATAAATAATGGTACTGAACGTCGCCACTCTGCGATTCTTACAGCTGATTAGGATAATTCGGAACAGTGGGTCGTTGTCTTAGTGTTCAATTAATTTCAGAAATAGTTAAAGAATCAAAATACCATATTTACGCATGTAAAGTCCGCTTGGGTATTTAAGTCGCACCTTTTTCGGGTGTGTTTGCTAGTACCCAAAAACACGGCAGTTTTATAGAAGGGAGAAACAAGGATATCATAAAGTGCCAATAACGATTTCAGTGCACCTTTATGTTGTCGTTGTGGCTTACCTCACTTGTCTGAGAGAAACATCAGAAACTTTATCGTGGCAAGGAGTGCCAAATTGCGCCTGTCATTGGCAAGAGCCTTGAGCACCATACAAGTAAGAGTACGACTTTGCTCAGTTCCGCCTCCAGTTTTGATGGAGAGCTCCCCCGGGGGGGGGGTCGTGTTCGACGGTTTCCCACCCCGTATTCCACTATCAGCAACCTCTCGAGAGAATTTCCGGCTCGCTGCATATTTAGAGCGTCCCCATGCCGCAGAGACTATATATTTACAAATATCCATGTCTTCTCCAGGATTCAAACCTGGGCCCTTCGATAAGGCAATCAGCATTGCTAACCACTTATCCCGGTTGGGCGGCTTAGTGGATCGTAAAGAATTAAAAGGGTAATCTCGTAATGCACTTGGTTTTTGTTTCGCTTATAGAATAATATTTCCCACTGCTGTTAGGAAGTAAGACTTCTCCCAGTGAGAATACATTTTCCTGCAATGACAATTCTATCAATGTCAGGAAAACAAATGCGAACAAAAGAAGTATTGAAATGCACGCGTATTTGCTTGAACAATGAAACCAGTTTGAATAACAAGAACTAGAATATTTCGCAGGTTATATTCTGTAAAGCCTCGTCTTTCTCCATTTCTTTTAGGCATTTTACCCCAAGGCTTTCAAATGTCATGTGCAAGGAGATAAGAATATTCTAACCTTAGCCATGTATTCTAAAAGACAAATCTGAATAAACTGGCGCAATGTTCAGAGAAAAAAGGATATGTTGTTTTTCCGTTGAAATAGAACACATTCCAAATAGTTTTCTGTAGAAACATATGCGTGTGAACTTGTTACTTTCATCGAGAAATCACTAGCTCATTTCAGCTACGATAAAATATTTCTAAACAAAAATATCTTTTTAATTTTTTTTTTAAATTTTTTTTTATTTTTATTATTTGAAATAAGCAAGGAAAGAATTAGAATGACAACTTTAAAAACGTTTTATTGACGATACGTATTTTAAAATAAAACGCTTTTATTAGTGATTAGAACAACAAACGTTAGCTTAACGCATATAGCTTCAGAAAATGCATATTTCTAACGCATATAGCTTTCTGAAGAAAACAATTTGACCCATGTTGTTTCATAACCGAGAATTTCAATAGTATTTATCAGTATCACTATTCTGAAAAGGTTTGATTCGTAACTAAATACGTCAACCGCTTGTCAATAAGGTATTTTACAATTCATAATTTTGAGAGGCATAAATAAAATTTACTTCAAATGTATATCTGTTTGATACTAAACCATGATACTTAAAAAATTATGTCTTAGCAGTTTATCTTTCCACTATTTTGCTACAGCAAATAAACAAAGGCAAGCATAATCAAAATGATACATTTAACTTTTTATTTAAGCGACTGAAATCGGATTTTCTTTAATTTACTTTTACAAAGAGGGTAAAAATCGTTCTTTTAATTCGTTGAATTTCCACATATGATTCCCTTTTAAAATGCAGATCGCTATAAATAACATATATTTACATAAAGCATTTTTGATAACATTACATATTTCTTGAACACGAGTGTTATATAACTCTTGAATGGTTATTTGACAGACATAATTCCGATTTAATATATGAATAAAATTAGATAGGCCTTTAAAATGCGAAAATTTTGGTCACGTTGTATGTTGTCGTAAATACTCACGAAATTCTACTTCTTATGTGTACCTCGAATTCGATTGAAAATAGAATACACTTTCCTATGATCAAATATATCTGAGATAACATTAACTGCAATCTTGAGCAGCTGCATACGAATACTGCTAGAGACTACTTTGCGTGTTCTGAAGTTCAAATTTTAACTACATGAATTCAAAAGCAGTTATTTAAAATCATCATTTCTATAAATGATGATTTTAAATGAAAAGTTCAAAATTTTGTATATAATGAAATTCATTTAATAGCGGCACTAAAAAATTGTCGTTTTGCACCCGTACTTTTCATCGCAGGGAAATATTTCAGGTTATATATTTTATTAAGTATCGGTTAGACTATTCGAATACAGCAAAGCACACAACGCTATCTTCAAGTAAAAGAATGCCTTCATAGAGGAATTTCTAAAAGAACCTGGTTCGTATTCATATTAAACAAAGGAAAAACGGTATTTACGTATTAACGCAACCAGGCCAAAATTCGCATAAATTGCCAAATTTGGCGACCCTACTTACGACAACCCTACGTGTTATACATAGTTTGTAAAAAGAGCATGTGGAGATTCACAAAATTTTCCTGCATTTTCGTGCAAATTTTTGTAATTTATGAGAAAATAGCAGTGTACATGGATAAAGTCAAGAGCGTGCGCAATGCCATTTTTGTGCAATTCTGGGATGTTTTTTTAAGTAAAAATAAGTCGACGTGTACATGGTTATGGCGAATACGGTTTTCAATCAGTGCTAAAAGCAATAGCCAAAAGATTTCCGCCGAAAAAATAATTCTGCAACTTATTCATATTCGAAACCGGAAGGGTTTAATTGCTATTTTATATTTTAAAACAAACTAATATAAAAAACTGTATTAAAAATTATCTGTAATTAATAAATGTACATTTTCTTTCTATTCATACTTTTTTACTCAAACTTACAAATAGCGCCAACCTGGTTGCGATAATACGCAAGTACCGAAAAAACAACTGTGCGACCAGTTCATTCACCTAAATTCGAACCCGATCGAACTACCAGTATTCAGCGGTCTTAAAAACTTGCGAGTCTTTTTCTTGTGTCTAATTTTGGACACTACAGATTTTCGTTCCTTCCTTTCCAAAGAACGAAATCTCTAAATTTTTTTCCTTCGCAGAATAAATATCGCATAAATATTTTAACTATCCATGCCTTTGCTAAAATGAATCAGGTAACCTCAATCGACAGTAAGTTTATTACTTGCTTGATTAATTTCCTAAATGAGAACTATGGGTCTCTGAATAGTTGCGGCCAGTCTTAGACTAGATATCTAACTACGCAGCCATTTAAAACTGTACACGAGTTTGTCGATTCATATATTGCCTTATTAAAAGATAATTAACAAAAATGAGTGAATTGCAGATTCTAATCTTGTATAGAACTGGTTTCTTACCGTTTGTGTCTATATAAGCATAGACTTCATCTGAGATTCGTTTCTGAAGCTCAAATTGCATTACAGGGCTATCTTCTTCCTCCTTTGAGTCATTTTTAATGCAGAAAAATTTCTTGAACTGATCTAATAACTGTTTAAAAATCCGATCCCAGAATTTCCATAGTTTATCAGACGAAGATCTAAAAGATAAGATGATAATTAAGGATTTATTATTTTTTAATATACAATGTAAGAAATATTAAATACTTAGTATTAGCTAAAATTGGATATGTATCTCCTATTCGAAATTTAATATTAATAATGCTAATATTTCTGAAAAGGATCAATAATTTTATAGCACTTCGTAGAATTAACGTAATATTTGAAAGAATTTGACCCAGCAATTGAAGAATTATTGTAAAAATGTAAGAATTTTCTTGTAATTCTAATCAGTATTTCTACTTTAATTGTACAGTTTTTGTGGGTTACTATTAGTTGATATTGATTCAATAAAAGGAAAACGACGAAAACGGGTTTGGTTTATGGTTTATTTAATTATGCAAAGCACACTAGGGCTATCTGCCTAAGGGGAGGGATGCCTTAGTGGAGGACTTTAAGGGGAACTAGCTCGTATACACGTTACACATGGGGAAAACCACGAAAACGCCCGTGCAGCCAGCCTGTTCGCGGGATTCGAATCTCGGACCGAACTACCAGTGTTCAGCGACTTACCGCTGGGCCGCTGTTGGGCCCACAAAAACGGGGACGCCTTATAAACAAATTACATATGGAAAAAGGCTCATTTACTATTTCGAAGATATTTTTGAATTCAGAATTTTCTTCCATAAATTTTAATCCTTTCTCTCTAGTTCTATGAGTATTTTTTACCATTTTTCAACCTAAAGTGTGCGATAAAAATAGTTCCGAGACACTTTCGTCAGTGGATTTTTACTAATCCGATACATCTCCTTAACATGATATATATCTGAATCTTAAGATAGCTCAACTTAGAACAAACTACCAGTTTAAACAATGTTATTCACTCGCCCAGTAATGGGTTCTGAAATTCGTGTGGCCTACCAGCGGCTGAACGGTAAAGTGACTGAACATTGATAACTCGACATAGAATCGACTCTTGGCGAACGGAATGGCTGCATGGGCGTTTTCGGGGTTTTCCCCATGCGTAACGTGGATACAAGCCAGTGTCCCTTATAAAGTCCTTCACGAAGGCATTCCTTCCGTTTAGGGAGATAGCCCTCACGTGTTTTCCTTCGTGATTAAATAAATCAAATTAAACCGAAATTAGTGGAATAACCGAAGACATAATTTTATTTATTTTTATGACTCATGTGATCAGAATTTGACATTTAAAGTTAGACATGCATTAATAATGTTTAGTATTATTTTAAATAGTATTATCTAATTTTTCAACTTGATAAAATATTTAAAAGGGCCAAAAAATTGAATATAATTACATACATTATCATACTACAACATGAATATAAATCTCTCCCATTCACCATTAGTTTAACTTTCGAACATTAAAAAGGATTTTTAAAGTAATTTTATGTTTGCAGTATTTCTTTAAAAAAAATAAGGGGTGGGAGAAGAAATTTAATAATTCTTATATTTTAAATAAAGAGATGGATGCAGTTGTCAGAACTTAGGTTACTGAAATAGAAGAAATCGCACAAGGGCTATCTGTTTAAGGAGAGGAATGCCTTCATGCAGGATATTCTAGGGAAACTGGCTCATGTTCAACACTTACACGAGAAAACCACCTGAAATTGTAAGAATAGTTTTAAAAAGTTGGTTTTCTTTGTTTAATTTCCATATAATTATTAAAACTAGCAGTTCCTGCGTTCAGTTTCCTTATAAATATTTGATATTAAGGGCAATGGTGACAGTATTCACAAAACATTTTATAAAATGCTAAAGAAACCAAATTTTCTTGTGGTAAATTTATGTATACAAATGATCTGTGAAATCTTGTTTACAAGTTCTGCGTGTTTGCTCCTTGACCAGATATACAACTGATCTTAGGTACTGTGAAAGAGCCAATCTGTCTTTGGTTCTTTCTATTTGCAGGAAAAGGAAGCAAATTTATTTACTGCTGAGAAGTACTAAAATGTTGGAAAAGCAAATTTATTTACTTTTTCAACATTTTTGACATAGGAGCTGTAATGAGAATTATAAATTGCTTTTCAAGGCAATAGATTCTTCCAGTCTAGCTGAAATACTTTGAATATATTTTAGTCTGGGAACTAGACTTTTTGGATACTTTCTGATTATGAGTAGCCCCGCCGTAAAGGCGCGAATTCGTTGGCAAGTTTAGACAGAAACATTCCCCCTCCATCGCAGAATCAGCAGAGGCATAACACTTCTCAACAGAGGCTTTGCTGTGGTTTTTAGTGCTCGGGGACAAATGAAGATTTCGCAACCCCTCGTCTCCTGTTTGCCGAAATGCAACGGTAAAAGAAAAATACTTCCTGAATGCCCCCCTTGTCTTCCCCTATCTGCGTTACTGCTTCTTGGAAGTAATGACATCAATTGATACCTGTATTTGAGAATAATCTCAGATCTTTTTTTGCAGAATTTCGCTGACGTATATTCCTTTGACCAATAATAAATAAAGCTCTTTATTCCTTGTTAGAAAAGAATGCCCTGCCTGATGTAATTCCGAGAGAGTGCGTTCGAGGATCTTCTTCCCCTCTTTCCCTACAAAAAAAATCTCTCTAGAGGAGTTTAGCTTCCGGACCAAGCATAAACATGGCCCTGTTTACAGACTATTACTGTCTACGAGGTATAAGGAATATAGTAAAATTTGTATGTAACACACCATACATTGTAGTTCGCCTGTAATAGTCCATTATAGAATGTATCGGGCATGTAACCCCTGTAAATATTGTAAATGTATTTGTATTTTGTTAATAAATGACGGAAATCCACAGCAGTCGATTGCTAGCGCAACGATTCGATCACACCTGTAATACCTAAGGTGGAGAAGGTACGTTAATGAGAACATCTCACCCGCCTAGCCAGAGAGTGGCCTTTATGGTATAAAGAGATGTCTCTATACATACCAAAAACGAAAACATCCAACGACCCAACCGGTCCCCCAAGACAGTAACGTAGCTGGAATACCAAAATTACAAAACACAAAAACACATTTAATTAAAAAATTTAAAAGGTATTCACGGAAACCAAGCCCAAAATTCCGAGTAACAAAAAAAGTTACCAAAAAGCAACTAAATAAAATAATATTACTACAAGTCTGAATAGGTTGCAAGCTGATCATATTCTCTCAGTACTACACAAAGGTGGAGCAGGTAAAGGATAATTGCTATTCCCGTGTATTTTGAGTCCCCCCCCCCCACTGCAGCAGAGACACTATTACGTTTACAAACATTCTTGCCTTCTCCGGGATTCGAAACAGGGCCCTTCGGTACGGCACTAACCACTCTCCAGTCTAGACGGAACAGATATGTTAACAAAAAAAAAAAAATAAATAAATAAATAATAATAATAATAATTTTCTCAATTGTATTGGATTACATTGCATTATTTTCAGTGTAGCGGAACACATTGAGATTTGTATATAGGGACAGAAGCCTTCATAATGGGCTTTCCAATAGAAATTGGCTCATTATTTATTAACGTATAAGAGAAAACCACGAAATCTTTATGCAATTGCTCTCCTCAAACTTCGGAAGTAGAATCAGCACTAGAACTCGGAACAGACTATCATATAAAACCTGTTGTTTAGCAACCATGGACTTAAAAAAAACATTTAACGTAGATAACTGCCAGTGATAGCTAATTTTCGTTAATAACAGGTGATGTTCCTTGGTAACAAATATCCATGTCAAAACGTCTTCATTAACAGACATAGGTAGAGGTAAAAGAATGCAATATATTGTGAAGGAAATTACCACAAGCAGTAGCAAAAATACTGATGTTATGTTAACACTTTATAGAATGATACACAATGGCTTAGAATTTCAACTGAGACTAACAAATTTTAAGGAGGGGTTATTACCCATCCATTTATTTATTTATTTATAAAAATTACAAAATACTTAAATTTAAGTTTATTTAAGTATTCGTATAATTTAATTTAAACGTGTCATACTGTTATATACTGTGTCATCGTTAAGCTGAGAAAACAAATAGTAAACTTTAAACTACTATTTATGTATCCTTTAAATAAAGGTTTTGCGTACATAAAAACTATATGCAGACGCTTTCCACCTTACAAACGATTTACTATCCCCAAGACTACTCGTCTCATGAATTTATTCGTAGGATATTAGAAGATAGGCTATGTATATCTCCTACCAATGTTCTTGAAATGACAGCTGTAAATACTATCAAATAAATAATTAAAAATACTACAAAAGTAAATAATGCAATTTAAAATTTAAATAGAGCACACTATAAATAAAGATATAAATTAATAAAGAATTACTTTATTGGACAGTACGTACTTTGGATTGTTATCCGAATTTTACGAAAGCTAATACAAAACACAAATCATTCCCACTTTAGTTTTGGGTTTTATTTATTATGATTAAAGAATTTATGTAATCACAATGTATATTCCTTAGCCTAAACAGGAAAACTTTGTTATAAATTGCAATTCTTAAACTACAAGATTATTTCGCAAGACAGCAAATTGGCCTAACTTTTAGATTTTTCTCAAAATGCGTTTTATGATGTAATGTTTATTCTACATTACTGAAATTACTGATCATAATTTTCACATGATATAAAAAAATACATAAAAGAAACTTACTTTTCACTGTGAAATTTTCGGGAAAAACTTTTTAATTGATAGCTTATGTAAACGGGATAGTATAAAATCATCTTTTGAAAAGACTAAGTCTATCACATGCTTAAAATCAGTTGAATTGAAATAACTGAAATGAGCAACCGAGAATTTCAAAGCACAGGATTAAGGAGTTTTACTCAGCAAAACGGAAGCATATCTTCGTGGAGAACTTTTCTAGGAAAACTGGTAGTATTTAGGTCATATTCGGGGAAATTCACAAAAAACATCCATGCAGCTAGACCTCTCACTAGGATTCACGCCTGGGTTGAATTACCAATATTCAGTGGCCGTAGCCACTCAGTCGCGTAGAAAATTATCTGCCATGTACGAAATTTATTTATTCCTATTTATTGGCTTAAAATTCTTATCAAAAGCACATACATGGCAATTACAGAATATTTTCACGCCAAGCTTGTTACAAGAGCTCATATTTATGCTCATATTTTTTATTATCATGTTATATAGTCTACTTCAAATAAAAAAATTCCTCGAAATAGGATTATTTAGATTATGGAAAGCACGTGATGGCTATCTGCCTAAAAGAAGGTGGGGTGCCTTTATGGAGGATGTTTTAAGGAAAATTAGTTAGTATATAAGTTATACAAGGGAAAAAGCGCGATACTCCCAAACAACCAGCCTATTCACCGGAATTTGGACCTGAAATAACTAATAATATTCAGCAGGTTTACTATTCGTACGTTGGTTTACTATTCTCCAAAATATTTATCGTTATTTTTCTGTATTCTGTTGCCAGTATATAAAGTTTTTTTTTTCCATATCTTAAGTCTCATATGGGTATATGCACCTTATAAGAGATAGACTAACCCAATCGGCGAGGCGCGCCTCACCGACATGTCCGCAAGAAAGAGTAGGGACAATCTGGTTTACTTTAACACTGAAACCTATTGCGTTTGTATCACATAACTCTTTTTAATTATTAAATGTGATACTTTGTATAGTGATGAGATTATGAAAGCCACAGTTTTTTCCAAATAGGATGTAATATATCTCATTAAAGCACTCTTTACTGTATTTCGCGCATTTTTTTCACGCGTTATCTTGTACAAACATCTTTAATTTGGTAAAACGGTAAAAACTCTAAGCACAAAATTTATTAACTTAATTTTGCGTAAAAATAAAGTAAAATTAAATAAGATTGATAGTACGCAATGCTTTGAAATAAATAAGGTAAAATTAAACAAGGTCTCATAATTTTTTTTTAATTTAATGAAAATTTTCAGGCAGAGATTTTCAAAACTATAATAACATTACAAAACGATTATTTATTTGATTATATCATCATTAAATTATTAACATTAAAGTGGATTAATTATTTTAGTAATTTATAAAATTCGGAGCATAAAATTTTCTGAATGTAATGAAGGGGGGGGAAAGATAAAATCTAGAAGTACTCAGATTTTTATATTATGCCCAAAAGGAACCTTTTTTTAACGTTTTGTGTGTTACCTATATTTATTGAATATCCTGTTCTTCGCCCGTAAACCGCATTTGAAACATCTTCCGTAACATTTGAAAACAGCATATGTTTAGAATTTCCGCACTGGAGATAAAAATGTTATTTTCCGTACAGTGTTACCATTGCTCGCTTTAAAAGGGTTGAATTTGTTAATCAAAAATCCGTTAAAGTTTTACAAAATATGAAATAAATAATAAAACAAATTCGAAATTCGGCCGTCCAGATGCCCATGTTCGAGTGGAGGATTACATTATTCAAAATTTAATGGCTCTAGATACCGTCGTTTTTGTCACAGTGCGAGAAACATACATGTATTCATGCAGATTCTTCATTATTTAATTTCTTTAAATATAATACGGGGCGATATTATTTGGTAACAACAATTTGCAAGGAGATACGGACATTTATAGTGAAACAGCACAAAATGCCGCTTCGAGCTAATTAAATCAATCGTAAATAAAAAAAAAAAATCTTATGCAGAACTAAAAATAAATTTAAAAAATAATCACTGTAAAATACAAACAAAACTAATTATTACGGTTAAATACAATTTTCATATTAGAATAAAATGTATAAAAATTAAGGAGTCAAAAGTGTTTATCACTATGATGTATTATGAAATATAATTGAAATAAAATTCCTTTATAGAAACTGTGCTATAATACTCATCTATAAATTTAAAAAAGCATCACAATTTAGAATTTTAAACAAAACTTTCAAAATTTCGTTTTTAAATATTTTAGTATCTTGTACTTATTTACACCAAGAAAAAGCATAAAATTTGCTTGTTTGAAATTTTCTGTTAGTTGAGATTAAAAATATATTTTCTAAAAGAAGTAGTTACAAATTTCCTTACAGCATAGGAAAAGCTAAAAAAATATCCACCCCTGAAAACATGCAATAGCTCTATAATTATTTGGAAGGCTAATTATGCTTGATAAAAATGCTAAATTTTTAAAAATCAATCTCATTTTCAAAAATAAAAATATGGAGAAATTCTAATTTGTGAAATGAGGCGCTACAACCAGTTTTTTCTTGACAGTTATACACGCTGCAATAGGTAATCACTGTTAAATTTCTGCAAGTCGTCCCTACTCCTCCGGGTGTGATCAAGGTGACAGCCGGGAACGCGTCAGATGAGGGAGAACACCCATTTGGGTTAATCTATTTCTTATAAGGTCCATGTATGGATAAGCGTGATGTCACATTATACTCATTACGTCTGAGCTTTTGTCTGAAGTAATCTCAACAGATTTTCGATAGCTACGTTTTGTTTTTTATGAATTAAGATATTAATTAGTTGATGCTGCTGTAAATTTTTTGTTGCATTTTGAAAAGAAAGCACCTGCCTCCTACAGAACAGCAAGTAGTTTATTATTTTGGAAGGTATGGGATCCTGTCATTAAAGTATATATTAATGGACACGATATGCTGCTCTATTTGAAAATGGATAAACAGTGTCGATGGAAATTGTGAAAAATTGTCACAAAAAATATCCATTTGAAAAGGAAAGTAAAATCACATTTGTTTCATTTATAGCTGGTACAGAGAATTAACATCTGTTGACTGGGGAAAAGAACGTCTGGATATCGCCGACAAAACAGTAACAGATTGGAACCATTACCGTCAGTAACCTTGTACTCATAGTGTTCTAAAGGAATTTTTAACAATCGGAATAACTGGGGCACGTTTTAATGAACTACTTTGTCAGTTAACCTAAAAGCTTCAATTACTGTTTATATCGGTTTCCCCCCCCAGGGGCGTAGCTAGAGGGGGGCAAGGGGGGCATCTGTCTCCGGGCGCAGAATCGAAGGGGCGCCAAACTGATGTTACGACATTTTAGAATTAAATGTTTTCCATCTTTGGCAAGCAGTAGGGGGGCGCTGAAAACCCTAGCTACGACTCTGCCCCCTCCCCAATGTGCTGAGTTGTAATTTCTATTTATCGATTATTTAGATAATAAAAGTAAGTAAAGAGAGATATGTGGTTGTTTATTAAATAACGAAGCATCCGTTCAGGCATGATTGGCGGAATCTCCGAACAATGGTGGTCAGCCTTCAAAATCGACTGAGTAATATATAATTACCTAATAGTTTTACGAATAAAAAATATTGCTTGCTACAGTTATATTTTAGTAAAACAAAGGAAAATAATTTTGAAACCTGTCTTTTAGAGGTTAAAATCAAAATTATAATGCGTTAAAAAAGTCTATTTGTTGCACAGTTCATCACTGGCTGCATGGGCGTTTTCGTGATTTTCTTCGTGTGTTTCCCTCAGAAATTTCTCCACAAAGGGTTCCTTTCCCTTAGGCAGACAACCCTCGAGTGCTTTGCCTTAATCAAATAAACAAAAACCTTTTTCATTTCAATGCTGCGAAAGAAATAAACAGGCATCGCACAAGTAGCCTTCTGAAGAGTTGGCCTGCTTAAAATATATCTCTTAGTTATATTTAAAAAGGTATCAGATAAGGTAGACCTTTCAGACGCGTTTCAGTTAGTTGACATCACTTAGTAAAAATAAACTAAATTAAAATGTTTGTACAAGTTCTGTACCAAGGAACATCTAACCCATGAGTTGTTTTTTAAGCTACTTACGATCCCTAAAGGAGGGTAAAGAAGGAAAACAATAATCAATCTCGAAGGGATTTATGCCCCGTTTGAAACATCTTTAACAGTTACATTAATACTCTAATAAATATTCATGATTATCATCTGAGTACACTGTAAATTAAAGACATTTTAATTACCTTCAATAATATATACTACATAAAACATAATAGTTTGAGGCACTATCTCCCAAACCTTTTAGCTTCCCATTCCGCATGTCTTATATTTGCAATAATTCACGACTCACATTGATATATTTGGTATGATAGAAGGAAGGAGCATATCTTTAAACGGAAAGACTTATTAGCGAAGAAATTATGAATAATAATGCTGGTGCTGACATTTAATTCTTAATTATAAATTTACTCCTGATTGCAATTAGACATACATGTGATTAAACAGTAAGGTATTAACTTCCAAATTTCTCGCAATACAACAAAATTGTTCCCGAACCCATTGCTGGGTAACCACCCACTGATTTAAAAAAATAAGCAATAAATTTATTTCTTTAAAAACACTCAGTTTGATTAACAGTAAACAATGATTAAATTTGAGAAATAAACCGCCGAGACGGTTTAGTGGTTAGGGAAGCCGTCCCTTCATAGGTGGCGATGGTGACCCACCTATTTTAGGTTCCTTCTTAATAAAGAGACTACCACATCTGGCCTTGTATAGATTAATGGACTGTGTTACACTATAACTGTTCACAATCTGCCATTGGATAAAAAAAATTGAGAAATAAACATCTAGCGAAGTATTAAATAAACATGTAACATAAACATGTATTAGCTAAGTTCAGGCATCATCTCTGGATAAGGGACTTATTGCAAGTCTCAAAAGGTACAATCAACCAAAGAAAGGAGGTTCTTTGTTTGCTTCAGCCTTGAAATCCATTTCCTAAAAGGTATAAAGAACATCCTTCTTCATTTCCTTTGTGTAAATAACTTTCTGAAAGCACATTCCAAAGCCTAAGATATCTTTGTTGGCTAAGGCATTTGAAAACTACAGGAATCCTTCTCTACACCTGTTCAGTATTTTGATTGCACAGTTGAAGCCAATAGCATACCATCTTAAGACAAACCACCTGCTGTTATGGTATGGTTTGTTACAAGGTTTTTTTGTCACAATTTCCTGTCTACTTCCATCACCTGCCACACAATTTTCATTTGAAGCTTAGG